ATTTTTCATTAATAATTAAATATATATATATTATATATTAATGAAAATAAACATTATTTATGTAATGAAGAAAATGTTACGATTTCCTGAGAGATGCCTAAACAATCCAGCCTATTTCTAATATAAAACGCTTCTGAACCAGAGCTATCGGCGGCTCGGCCGCCAGCGGCCGGGCGGTAATGGGGGGACAGAAGGCGTCGTCTCCAGAATCGGTCCGAAATGTGCAACTAATTCCGAGCGCTGATCTAAAACATTCTACAATTTTTTCATGCTAAATTTCAGTTATATTTTGTCATTAATATAAAAAATTGGCCATTTTCGCTTAGGGGGTCTGTCTTACCCCACCTTCCCCTACCTCTATTATCATTCCCTGATTTTTATGCCTGATCCTTGATGCCGATATTTCGATTAATGCCTCACGTGCTGTGCCATCGCCAGGGACAGATGGAATGGTCAGCAAAATAGTCAAATCTTTCCATGCCAAATACATTTAAATATCTAAAGAAATTCTTCAATATGGAATTTCATACCTGCGCCTACTACAGGAAGAACCCACAGACAACTTATTGTTAGAATACATTCCATCGAGAATTTGCGATTATTTTTTATTGATCTATTTTGCAATGTACTCTTTTCAATCTTTATATATATTTTTATCATAATTAATTTCATCAAAAAGACGTATATATATTTTTTTTTATTTTGAATATATTTTAATATTTATACTATTGAGCACAGAATTTTATTATCAATAATATAAATAATTAAAAATATTTTCTAAATATTTCTAAATAAAATAGAGCTATTTTATATAGTTTAATATACTTAAATATTTTATAGATTATTAAATTATACTTATATAATTTTACCTAAAATTATTTGCTTGCTTATATCATAATCGAGAGAACACACACAATTAGAAATAATTCAATCATACTATAATTTATTTGCAGCAACCTGAAATTTTTTATCTCACGCGTAACATTCTTTATGACATGTAACGCGGCGTGGAATTCTAGACGGCTGCTTCCTGCGAAAGTTGCAAAATAGGCGAATAATGCCGATCCGGTGCTGAGCGGTCTAGATTGCAACGTTGACGACGTAGAACAAACAACAAGGGACACCTCGGAAAAACAGGTCATAACGTTTCTCGCCCTGTTAATGACTCGCCGTCTATGCGCGTGCACGTTGCCGCCTCCGCCGCTTTGAGGACTCCAGAGTATTTTAAAAACGGATGACGAGGTAGTATTTTCGCGGTGCGAACCGCGTTTGAACAGCTGCGCAAATAGTGGATCCGCGCGCGCGCCTCCTCGGTCCGTGATTTCTGTCCCTGAGCTCACGCTCCGCTTTGCCATTTGCAATTTTATCGCCGGGCCCATCGAAAGAGTAAACGTTCGAGCGCGCTCCATCGATGACAATTCCATCGGTTTCCAAATCAAAATGCAATTCAAATCGATTACACCGAGGAGTAGAATGCTAATATTCGCTCACGCTACGTAGATTGAATTTATGTGAAACACTCGCGACGCTACTTTTTTATAATTTATTAATTTTTACTTATGTCGCAACTTTTCGTACGCTTTTTTATGTATAGTTTACGATTTATCAACTATTAATGATAAACAAACGCGTAGAATGGATATTATCTTGACTGACATTCGACTGCGACGCAGTATTTTATATTTTCAACCGGCAGTCAAGTGACGTGGGCTCATTGTGTCTCTAACTATAGTTAAAAAAAAGTCTGAAGAATATTAAAACCGCGTTTCCCGCACAATACCGACGATAATCGGCTTCAATCTTCATACGTCCATTATCGGTCTTTTATCGTCCGTTCAACCCTCCGGAGAGGGGTCGTCTCTCCCCTTTCGAAGCACGCCCCGACAGTACTCGCAATTAGCGCTGTAGCATTCTATTGAACGAAAAGAAGATTATTCGTAGGAAGGCGAGCGGATAATGAGAAAGATGGCACGAGATGAGCGTGTTGAAACGAGGGAAAGAGTGCGCACGAGATGCGGCGAGGAGCGTGAGCGTATAGTTATAGCCACCACCTCTCTCTCCCCCGCCTTCTCCGTCCTCCCCTCCCTCTGCCCTCCCCGCGCGCCCGTCCCTCGCCTCTTCCTGATACGATGTTACACTCTTGTAAGCAGTCGAGGATCGGGAGATTCGCCCCACAGCTAACACGTGCAAGGCGCACGTGCACTTCGAGAGACCGGCCGACCACTCTAGCCGCTGGCGCACAATCATCGGATGCCAAGATACACTCCACGGAATAATTTTCGACGAGGGCACTCCTATGTCTCTTCCTTCGTCCCTCTTCCTCCCGGCCGAGCCGGGCGAAATCGGAAAAAATCCGCCGCGAAGGAGAACGGGTATGCCCGCGCCTCCTTCGTCATCGATTCGAAAGCGACCGCGATAAATAATCGTGCGTGCCCTTCGCGCGTCCGTTGAAAACAGTCCCGAGCGACGGGGGCAAACACGAATCCGGTTCTCGCCGGATGAATTTCAGAAATGATTTCCATCGCGCGGAGACACAAAAATTGCCGCCGTGATAATCTTTTTTTTTTTTTTTAACGTTAACTTCTTTCCGATCGCGAATCAATCTGTCGGGACTCATTCTTTGCAGCGTATTTCGTAACATGTGTATTAAAAAAAAAAAAAGAAGAAAAGTCTCGAAGTCAGCTTATCGCATCGCAGTTCTTGTTAAATTGTCGAAGCGCTGTTCGACTTTCTTCAGTTTCGAATGTGATTGCATCATAACTGGAAAATCATTTCTACTTATCTAATCTTATATAAGTCGTCTTGATTGATCGACAATCGAGATAATCGTGTTTTGAGTAAGCAATGTGTTTACGATTCTACGTACAGCTGCACCGACAAGGATATATATATAAGTTGATAAACACAGCGGTAAATCGGTCAGGCAGTAAGAAAGTAATAACCGTAACCAAAAATTTCCAGGATTAAGTTATCTATCTTATCACTTGTTTGTATCTAATATAATAATAATTATTTCGACGAAATAGTTGATAAAATATTATTATGTACGCGAGGACCTCTCGTTTTGTCGCGCGATTTACACACGGCAAGATCACAGGTCGACATACGTTTCATTCGAGCGGAGCGACGTAGGATTCAGTGACGCACTCAGTTTTGGGGGTTAAATCCCCGGCCCCCCCCCCCCACCAAATTTAATTAATATCTTATTTTTTTATTAACTTCACAGCAAAAAGTATCATCAAAAATCTGTAGTTAAATAAAATGTGTTCAAACATTAGTATTTTTTGTCTGTTATTAAGTATAGTCACAATTTTAATAATTCAAAATTCACGCCAATATCCTTGCACACAAATAATTATGATAGCTTTTCCAGCTATACTGCTGTTCGAACGTATATAATATCTACTTTAAGATATTCATATTGTGAAAAGATTTAAATAAGTTACTTAAGAAACATCTAGCAGCGATATATAAACAAATTTTCTGATTATTTAAGCAATCTAGTTAATCTGATTATTTAAGAAAAACCAAGAAAACTCGATATCAATTTATAATTATGTTACTATAAAAATAAATTGTATTTTTTATTAAACGATGTAACATTTTTATATTTTTTAGTGTGCAATATAAAATTATCCTGACTTTTGGTCATACTGTTTCATTTTGTGTGTGAATTTTAAACCCCCACCCCGAAAAAATATCCTGAGTGCGCCACTGGTAGGATTAATATGTAAAAGCGCGGTCCGCGGGTTAAATCGAGCCCGCGTTATGCATTCTAGGGGTTAACTCGAGTCGCGCGGCGGCGGCTACTTCACAATTTTCTACGCGACGCACGCACGGCGGCGCTCCGCAAATTTATTCGTAAGAGTGTACGACATGCGCGCGCGCGCACGAGGTGAGCATCTACCACCTATGCAGGCTATCTCATGAACGGATACGATGCAGCAGGAAGCGCACGATTACCGGACTCACTCCGATGCATTCCCGGCGCTGCATGTGCGGCAGCTGTGCTAGGAGATGCGCCGCGGTTTCCATCCCGGTCGCGCAATCTCCCGTCGGCCCGATTTCGAGAAGCGGCAGAATGAGACGGCGCTAATTATAGGTGCGTCGCTTTTTCCGCGCGCGTCTCTCACGATAAACGCACAGCTCTGTACCGATGGCCGCTGATACATCCAGTTCGATACGGCAATTTACGACAAAAAAAATGAATATTTTCTACCCAAAAGATTAAAACATTTTCGTTGAAAGAGCTTCGAGACTCTCGAAACGTCGATGGTTCTCAAATTACAATCAAATGGGAAAGTTTTCGCCGCTTTGTTGTCGATAATTAGCTTTTTTCCAATTAGTATACATTTGTATTAATCGCATATTCATCTTACAGACAGCGGGGCTTCAGAATCCACGATCCAGAGATCGTTATTCGAAATTCGAAGTTGTAGATCCAAGATCGAAGCTTCAAGCTCTGCAAGATCGTGTAGAAGCGTTGCGCGTCAACTTATTTGTTCGGTAAGTACCGTACCTAGAGCAGCCACAAAAATACGACATTCTTTCGCAACACATTTCCCCAGCGGTCCGCTAATATACGCAACGTGTTCTTTTCTCGCGTCAACAGCGGCGATAAGGATAAAAAGAGGCGAGTCATACACCTACCGTCGGCGCGGCAAAAAGATGGCTGTTCACGGATATTATCGCGGCGATCGTTATTCAGAACGGCGGCACGACAACGGCGACATGCCTGCTGCATAATTTTGCGGCGTGGTTGTTGACGAGGTACCTTCTCTTTCCTTCCTTTTTTTTCCTCTCTTTCTCTCTCTGCCTGTTGGAGGAGAAGCGCGCGTGAAACAATCTCGTGGAAAATTACAGGGAGTAAAACCGAACGTGCGAGAAGAGAGAGAGAGAGAGAGAGAGAGAGAGAGAGAGAAGAAGAAGAAAGAGAAGAGAGACGACCGACG